TCTTGTGAGTTTTGTAACCTGAAAATTCATACTCAGTATATGTATCTGTAGGAATATTTACAGTCCAGTTTTGAATTGTTTATTTGATATGTATAATTTTAGGAAACACATGAAAATAACAATAATAATAATACACTTTCTGGCGTACCCTCACATTAGATAAGAGAGAAACGAACGGCAACTCTGATATTGAGATCAATATGCATCTGTTACGTTTGACCCTTGGTTACAACCCAAATCTTGGTTCATAGGATTTACATAATTTATCACATTATATCCTGATTAATAATTTAAAATTATATCTTCTGAAATAAGTTGTCTAACTTATTGTCATATCGTTTATCCTTATTTGCATTTGATACTTGTGTTTTACCTCTTTCACATCTCAAACTTTAACTATTTTTTTTATATACAAGATTACATGTATTTCTTATCATTGGTATTCGTGTCAATTTTTTTTACTCTACATCATTGGTAAAGTGAATGTTTTAACAGAGTTACTGATAAATAGAAATCATAGTTATATATTTATAACTTTTTCTCTACATAATTTGTAATCATGTCTCATTGTTACTGATTGTTTTAAACAGAAAAACTGAAAAGGACAACCATTTCCACTGGTATAGTAGTAAAGAAAGGTTTAAAGGCCGAGAAATTTTTATTTTGGTAGCTGTTACATGTCATAATTATGTTAACAATAGGTCTCTGTGACCTATAAATAAGATATCTTGAAATATGGAAACTCCTGACTGGCTGAGGCCCAGTGCTGAATCCAGAAATTTTGAAAAAGAGGGGACCAGTTTGAGGTCAGGGGAGGGGCCCACAGCCACAATTAAAAACATTCATTTTTATCAAATATTGTATATTTTTGGACTCAAAAGGGAGGGGGCCTGGAGCCCCTTCTAAATCCGCCAGTGGGCTCATGACTAGACCTACATTCATCAAACCGGGCCTGGGGGCATAAAACTTAGACAAGCTCACTTTTGATCTCAGTCTCACTTTTCCACTATATATTCCTTAAGTGAGACTGAGATAAAAAGTGAGCCCGTCTAAGTTTTATGTCAACCAGGCCTGGTCAATTATTGTTTCTTACGTTGAAGGGTTTAATATTGAAAGTATTTGATCTTAATAACAGTGAACTTTAATCAAGGTGAAGTTTACATTACAAAGATGAAATTATAATATCCCAACAATATGAATATTGAAGTATCCTTTTAAAAAAATGTTGAATTGAAAAAAACTACACATTATTCCTCATAATATTCTTTACAGCAATATATGACAAATACAGTATATTTCTTTTGTGTTCTCTCATACACGAAGCCTCCGTCTAACAGTACTTTCAGTACTTTGATTACTCTTTAAGAAAATTTCAAGGCTGGATGGAAGCAGCGGTCTAGGCATTGGCTTTATTTCATAATTCTTAAAACATGATAGTCTCTTTCTAATTGCTGTTCTTAGTCCGGCATATTCAACATAGTTTGTATTTACCTTCAAGTTATTATGAATAAAATCAAAACTGTAAAAGTTTCCATTTAAATCTACGAAATCATTGATAAAAACAAAGCCCGAATGAAAGTAACTTTTGATGAAAATTGACTGGCCACGTGCACCAATGGTAACTCCTGGATTATGCCATATATGTTCTTGGAGAGGACTTACATCAGCTATAGCTTTAGCCTGATTTACTTTACACCAGCTAGAGAAAACATCTTTCCAAAACTTATTTTTCGTGGTACTACTCAGATTCTTAATAAAGTCAATTCCAAACAGCCAAAGATTATTTATATTTATTCCAAATTCTGCTTCAAGTAATTTAACCCATTTTGCACTTGAGCACATAACCCGCCTTACCCAACTAGATTTCAGTGAAGTAACAAAATTTTGATAGTCTATCATTTTCAAGCCCCCAAATTTATGCTCTTGAATCATTACATTTTTCTTAACTTTATGACTTTTATTATTCCATAAAAAATTATACAAGTCTTTTTCGAAAGCACTCATGACATCATCGTTAGGATTTGGTAAAGTGAGGACAAGATGATTTAGTTTAGGAATTAATAATGTTTTTATTACAGTCAGTCTTCCAAGGGGAGTAAGTTTACGAGCTTTCCATTGTAACATGGTTTTTTTAATTTCTTCAATTTTTAATTTGTAATTAATATCTACCATCTCATGTAAATCAACAGAAAACTTAACACCTAGTAAATCAAAGGATGTTGTACTGGGATCAAACTTCCATCTTGAGTGATGAAAAACATCTTTTGAGAATTTTTTACTTCCAATCCAGACTAATTTAGTTTTAGAAAAATTTATTTTTAGACCTGAGATTGATGCAAAATAATCTAACACTCTTGTAATTCCATCCAATGAGCTTGGAGAGCCATCAGAAATAACAGATGTATCATCTGCATATTGTGACAACTTGTATTCTTCACCATCAATAGTTATACCTTTAATATCCTTATTTTTTCTAATTAAAATACCTAGAATCTCTGCACAAAGTAAAAAAAGGTACGGTGAAATAGGATCACCTTGTCTACAACCCCTTTCAGGGTAAAAATACTGAGACACAATCCCATTTTGAATAACACAGGACTTTATATTATTATAGAAACATTTTATCCAATTTCTAATTGACTGACCAAAATTGAAGAAACAGAGTGTTTGATTTATGAAGTTCCATGAAATGGTATCAAATGCTTTTTCAAAGTCGATAAACATTAAGAGACCAGGTATATTTCTTGACTCTGCTTGGTGCATAATATCATATATTAATCTAATATTTTCGCCAATAAATCTACCTTTAATAAATCCTGTTTGGTCCCCATGTAGCTTATCTAAGAATTTTTTAATTCTTTCAGCAATGCACCCTGAGGCTAATTTATATACAACATTTAAGAGGCTAATAGGCCGCCAGTTTTTTAAAAATTGTTTTGGCTTACCAGATTTTGGAATACATGTTATTACCCCTAATTTGTTTGGTTCGGAAAAAGTTTGTTTTAAGTATGAATCATTGATTGCTCTTGTAATAAATGTGCCAATATCCCTCCAAAAAAATTTAAAAAATTCACATGTGAAACCGTCTGGACCTGGGCTTTTATCATTTTTCATCTGTTTAAGAAAGTTTAAAACCTCTGATTTTGTTATAGGACCCTCTATACTTAGAGCTTCTTCAAAAGACAGCTTTGGGATATCATTATATTCCGACAATTTTTTGCTGTAGTTTTCATTTTCAACAACTTCTCTTTTTTATATAGGTTTTCATAAAAAATTTTTGTTTCATTTAAAATATCATATTGATCTGAAATAATAGATCCATTTTCTTTTTCTAATCTTGGTATCAGTTTACTTAAATAATTTCTAGATTCAAGTTGACTAAAATACTTTGACGGTTTTTCACCTTCATCGATCCATTTCATTCTGGAACGAATAACCTGTCCCTTTAACTTTGTCTTATGTATATCTTCAAGTTCTGTTTGTTTCATTTTAAGGGTATCTAATGTACTTTCTGTCAGATTTTGTTCTAAATGTAAAATCTCATTTTCTAAAAATAATTCTCTTTCATGCATCTTTTTTTTCTTATACTTGAGTAAGATATAGTCTTTCCTCTAATTTCCATGAGTAAAATATCTAGGAAACATTGGTCACTAACAGTGAACAACAATAATTCATTATCGACAGAACAAAGATTATCTATGTCATACACTGGGCATGCATACTGAACTTTTACGTCATTGATTTTTTGTTTAATTGAATCAATATAAGCCTTATCTGTTAAAAGAGAATTGTTAAATTTCCAAAATCCTTTACCTTTAATAAAGTCATTAATTTTCAAAGACATCACAACTGGAGAATGGTCGGATCTGTAACTGTTTTCATATTGAACACTACTAACAGAAGGGAGCAAAGATTCAGATATAAGAAAAAAGTCTAGTCTAGCCTGTTTTAAGGGTGTCTTTTTTCTCCACGAATAGCGTCTAACTTGAGCGTAGTTTTCACGAAATATATCTTTTAGATTCAAATTTTCCATTAAATTTATAACTTCCAGTCTCGCTTTTGGATTGTTCAAATTTTTATAGTTCATGGAATCTAATTCCTTATCTAAAACTAAGTTAAAATCGCCTGCTATGATTATTTGTTGCAACATGTAGATTTTTTCAATCTCATTCATCAAATTAGAATAGAAAACTGGTGTATCAGAATTTGGCCCATAAATATTTACAAGTATAAAGTTCATACCCTCAATAGTACAGTCTATTATTATGTAATTTCCATTTTCATCGCTTAAATGTTTGTGGATATCTATTTCGCAATTATTATTAAAAAGAATAGCAACACCACGCGAATTAGACTTATACGAACTGAAAAATGCCCGATAACCCCACTGTGTTTGGATAAATTTTTCGTCACTTTTAACGAAGTGTGTGTCTTGCAGAAAATAAACATTATAGTTCTTTTTTCATAGAGTATTAAAAACATCTAATCTTTTATTTTTATCCCCAAGACCCTGGCAGTTAACTGTAAGTATATTTAGATTATTATCTTTTACCGTAGTCGTACAAAAACATCAATAAAGAATCGAATGAATGCCCAACGTAAAGGAAAGAGAGGAAAAGGGGGATAGAAACGTGAAAGAGAGATAAGGATGCATATTTACAAACAAGGTGAATGAAACAAATTGGCATCAGTCTATTGATCGTATTTGCTGATGGAGAAAGGAAATTTGTCAATCTGCATTTACCATGTTTACAAAACTTCTGATAAGTAGTCCCAAAACAAGTACAATCGGAAATATAAATTGCTAAATAGTTTATGAGTCAGTCTGTGTAACTAATATTTTTCCGGAAAGAACTAACCAAGTATAAAAATATTCAAACTTACAAATACTATTAGACCGTACATGTAATTGTACTTATGAATTGGAAATTTTAACAAAAATTACTTTTGCATGTAACACAGTGACAGTGTTTATTGTAAGTGTTCATCTATTAAAATTCTTAATAACAAGTGTGGCTGACGGCTTTGTTTACCAGATCTTTCATAATGTCAAACCGACGGGGACCTAAATGTTTACCATTCCTCCTCGAAATGACAATCGCTACGTTCGATACTTCTCTCTCAACCAGTACCTTAAGTAGTCGACGTCCGGCCCCGTATTCCCCATTGTCGCAATATCCGTCATGCACTCGCCCTTGGGCATCTTTGAATCGGTATACAAGGATATTATGGTTGGCACAGGCATAGTCCGGGTTGCGTAGAATATTTTTGTAAACGTTCCTAGCATGTGCATATGTGTGAATTTCGGCGATTAATGAAGTAAAAATGTTCCCATCTTCTGTTACGCTTTCGCACTTCCTTACATCGCATTCATCCAGTTTTTCGATTTCGTCCTTGTCCAACATGAGTATATCCTCAGCCCTTGGTGGTAGCACCTTGTCACGGTACACGCTTCCGTTTGGAAAGACTAACTTGTTTCCCACTATCTTTGTTTTGACGTTTTCTTCTCGATATTTATTGTTCATCTCCTGCAGTTTCTTTTTACCTTCATTTATTTGCAGAGGCGTCTGTGGAGTGATATAGAAGGGCATGTCCTTAACGGTGCCATTTTCCTTCTTTTGACGAATAGCTTGGAAGATGAGTTCTTTATCATTGTAGTTCTGTAATTTCCCTGTTATTGTCCTTGGTTTCGGGTTGCCAGGGAATTTCTGACCGTTTCGGTGTATCCTGATGAAACCAACTTCCAAATTTAAATGCTCTTTTATCAACTCGCTAACTCGAGTGTTCAGATTTTCCTGATCATCTTCAGCTAAGTTATGTACAAGAATATTGTCCCTCATCGATCTTCCTCTGAGGTCTACTATTTCATTTTCTTGCTGACTGACCCTTCTATCTAAGTTAACGACGATTGACTTTAAAACTTGGAGTTCTTTTCGTAAATAATTGTTTTCTAATTTCAGTGCCTCAATTTCTCCAACATTATCTTCATGTTGTTGACCGACGTATTTGATGCGCTCATCTAACCCATCCTCATCCCATAGATCCCGATTCATATTATTAACTGATTGCTGTAGTACATTGATATTGTCCAGTTTACCGGTAATTGACCGCAAGCAATCATGAATAGCGGACATCTGTGGTGACGCTTCAGTGACTCCCGACGACAAGGCTGGGTTACACTGTGAATTGTTCTCATCCTTGCTATTTTGAGAGGCCATAATTTTTGAAGTTACAAACTTCTAAACACTCACCAATTTTTTTCCAAATTTTCACAAAAGACACTCCAACTATATAGAAACACCTCTGCCAAGTTTTGGGAGCAACGACTAAACCATAAAATCACAGATCGACTTAATCCTCTCCTCAATTTACACGGTGACCACCCTAGCCATAGGTCACATATTTATGGACTTTGATAATGAACACTGTTCGTAATCTCCATACCCTCGCAAACTTCTAAAAACACTTATAATAATGATAGAACCAAGGAATATATATATCAAAAAAGATCCGTGCATTTGAAAATATTATTTAAAAAAATTGAGCGATAGAAATTTTGATTTGGACGATTGATGGTCTGTGAAAAAAACCCAACAGAATATAGTTAAAATGTTCTCCGTGGTGACAAAACATGTTGCTTTTTAAATTGCCTTACATAAGTTCCATTTAATCAAATAGAATGAAACTTCATATATCGACGAAATGAATGTTTTTGTTACATATAATATTCTAAATATTCCAAGGATCTTTTGGAAATTTTTACCAACCTCAGCAGCTTAAAAACTTACGATGTTCAAACTTTATGCAAAACTATACCCAAAGATGAATTTAAGTACGAGCTTTTTAAATAGAAATGGATCTCGTAAAATATCTTACCTTGCTATTGGTCATTTGCAAAAGGATTTTATTAAAACATTCTGATTGTAAACATTAATACCCTGAAGTTGCTATAGGAAAGATGATTGAGGAAGAACACGTGACCTATGGCTAGTATGGCCACTGTGTAAAGTAAGGAAAGGAATGAGTCGAATTGCTACCAAAACTTTGCAGGGTTGTTTTTATCTAGTTGGAGTACCTTTTATGTAAAAAAGAAAAAAAATGATGTACCTTGGAAGTTTTTAACTTTAAAAAATTATGACCTCTCAAAATAACAAGGATCCAACCCTGGCATCGGGAATCATTAGTCACTGGAGCGACACCACAGATGTCCGCTATTTATGATTGCTTACACTCTACAGACGCCTCCGCAAATAAACGAGAGTAAATAGAAGCTGCAGGAGATAAGTACAGGTATCGAAAAAAAAATCATAACAAATACTGGCAAATGAGCTTATCTTTCAAAATAGAGGCGTGTACTGTGACAGAGTGCTTCCACCTTGAGCTGAGAATCTACTCATATTTGACAGTTGTTGTGTATCTGTATATACTGGGTCATCGAGAGGGCAATCCGGATGATAGGGTCGAATGTTACTTTTGCATGCTATTCCGGAAAAGACCGGGTTTTGTGATTTAGTTTTACGTTTCAATAAAAGATGGCACGCTTTTGAAGTTGTCATTCATTATCACTCATTTATGTGAAGATTGTAACGGAGTTAGCGTTACAACATGGTGGAGAATCCCAATTCGATTCCAAGCAACGCCCTGTTTGATGGTATGAGCGGATTCCACAATTCATCTGATGTCCACATGCCAGTGCTGACCCCCGTAGGACAGAGGCAGGAGAGTTGGCGCGCAAACGACAAATGGCGCGACACAGCACCGTCAGAAGGCAAGTGCATAGGAGATGAAAGTCCGCCTTGGACAATCCACAGACCGTTGAGATCGTCTACTCCCGTCACCCGTACAGTCATAACTCCAATGGACAAACTGTCACTAAAGAAGTTTAGTGGGTACTCGCACGAGGATGCGGCAAAATTCCTTGACGAATTTATGTCGTACTGTGTGTTTCACGACATGGATACTAACGAACCTCGGAAGATCGCAGCTTTTCATTTGCATCTTCAGGGCCCGGCGTTGGTGTGGTTCGGCCAGCTTCCGGATTTCATGAGAACATCGTGGCGAGCCATCGAGAGCGAGTTCCAGAGAACCTACACCAGCAAATCACCATTGGATCCGACACTTATAATGGAGTCTGCCATGTTTGATTCTCTTCGTGTGTCTCCTGCACAACCTCTGGAGGACTTTTATAGTGTCATATTGGAGAAAGGACGCAAACTTGGAAAACCCGAAAGAGACCTGATGAACAAATTTGTCGAGGGTTTACCGCAGCAGCTTGCTTTCTATGTCCGTGCTGGACGATGTTCTACTTTTGCTGACACTCTTACTGCAGCCAAAACAGGGGAAGCTTTTGGCTACCGCCAGTCTCAACCTACTACAGCAGCCATGAACACAAAGCCTCCATCTCATTCTCTTGATATGAACTTTGTTGTGCAGGAGTTATCACGACTATCCACTGCAGTCCAACAGCTGGCAGCTCCAGATTCTCATGGACGACAGCTATCTCAGCGTACCGCATCTACGCCCCAACCAGTGCAATCCAAGTGTTGTTTCCGATGTGGTGGAATTGGTCACGTGCAACGCGCTTGTGCTCTGAAGGCTGATGGTGTGTCTAACCCCACCTCACAGTGTCCGTATTGTTCCCAGTTTGGCCATAATGCTTTTTCCTGCATGTTTGCAAAGCCGGAAAACCCCAGAGCCCCGGGGAGAGATCAACAGGGCGCTCCCTAGGGAAGACAATAGGATCTCGACATCGTAGCCCTTCACCTACACCATGGAGAGAGAGACTCTATCAGCAGAGGTGTGCTACATTGAATACCGCATCATATTTTAGTGGTGATGCTTCATTGTGTGACTCGCGTGTAGCCGCAACCGCGCCTGTGAGTAGTGACAGTGTTCATTTGTGTGACTATCCTTGTGTAGCGACAGATGTGCCTACTTTCAGTGACGCTATGAGTTCGCATATTAGTATTGAATCTCCGTTGTGTGACTCTCGCGTAGCCGCAACCGCGCCTGTGAGTAGTGACAGTATTCATTTGTGTGACTATCCGTGTGTAGCGACAGATGTGCCTACTTCCAGTGACGCTATGAGCTCGTCTGATGATTTTTCAGACATACATGACTCCAACACCACTAAATTTATGTATATGCCAGTGAAATTTAAAACTGTTAATGTAGCAGCATTATTAGATTCTGGCTCATGTATATCTGTCATGTCATTGTCATTATATGATAGGTTACCTGTTTCTGCTAAGCAACCTTTACAACCATGTAATATTTCTGTAATAGTAGCTGACAATCAGAATGTTAAGGTTTTAGGCATTGCTAAGGTAAAAGGCCAGACACCTCATGGTACACATTGGTTTACTGTGTATATTTTTGAATGTACTTCACACCCTTTTATCGTTGGAACAGATTACATGTTAGAGAAAGGTATTGTTTTAGATTTTGGTGCACACAATAACTTGTTGAATGGTTATATGAAATCAAAAGTGAAAGTTAGGTGTATGAAACCTATTACTGTTGAACCTAATACAGAGATTATTGTATATGGTAAAGTACCAAAACAGTCATTGTATGGTGTGCAGGGTTTATTATCTGCTCATGTGAATGTTTTGAGAAGAGGTCTGTTATTGGCTAGATCAGTAAATACCATATCTGCTAGTAAAACCATTCCTTTCAAAATCATGAATCCTGGAAATGACTCTGTTTTTATACCTAAAGGTATGGTATTGGCTGATTTTGCTGTATTAGATTCCTCGTATGACATTGTGCAATTACCTGTGTGTAATAATATTCAGAATGTCAGTCAGGGTGAGACAGACTGTCAGAAATCAGATGATTTTGGTGCTTTTTGTGCTAATTTTGATTTTTCTGGTGCACATACACTTACAAATGAACAGATTGTGAAACTTGAGAGATGTTTATATGCACACAAGAATGTATTTATGACAAAAGAAAATCCCAAGCTTGGTTTTACAAACCTTGTGCAGCATGAGATACATCTGAAACCAAATTTCGTTCCCAAGTATCAGAGACCTTACCGTCTACCCCCTGACAAGAGAGAAGTTTTACGTACTCAGTTAGATGAACTCCTCTCCCAAGGAGTTATTGCCCCTGTTAGCAGACCTGCCTACCCTTCCGCTTTTGGCGTACGGTAATTCTACCGCTTTTTACCACCAAATAACGCTATTACGCCACTGATATTAATATTACGCTTTTGATATTTTGGTTTAAATCCATCATAAATGTCTAAATTTAAGAGTCAAAATACATTTGTACGACCTGCTGAAATAATATGAAAAGTTCTAGTTAAAAGTTTAAAGTCATCATTTCGTAAGTTCTATGGTCGATACAATGACCTTGTCAGCAAATACAATTTATCATTCAATCAAACTTTGACTGACGTTTTTCATACCAATTATTAGTCCATTTAATTATACACTGAATTGACGACGGATTTTTTCCGATTTTCATGATCATGACAACGAGCACACGGTGGGTGTGACCGGTTGGCAGGGGATGCTCACGCCTCCATGGCACCTGATCCCACCTCTGATGTTTCGGAGGTCCGTGTTTGCTCTGCTCTGATTTTGTATATTTTTAATGGACTTTGAGATTTAATACTGTTCGTTTTCTCCATATCCTTCTTAAAGTAATTAATGGAGGACCAGTTTGATAACTAACGTTATATATCTAATACTTACATGTTAACCGGTATGGCAAAGATTCGGGATGACTCCTTGCTTCTCGACTCTAAAAAACGCTCTTACCATTGCGCCACGCGGGCGACGAAGAACACGAGAAGGCACTACTTACGTTAACTATTAAATGACATTGCAATAAGAACATCCATTTCTATGCTCAATTTTAACATTGCTTTGAACAAGATAGAGAAATGTGAGTGTTGAAAAGAAAGATAAGTGTTATGTACAATTTGTATAAAAATGCAAACGCAAGACTTCAATTCAGTGAGTTGATACAAAATGACCAAATGCTTCATTAAGGGTGTGCGGTTGATTTGAGTTCAATATAGGATACTGATATTTTACAACACTTTCTTGTCAATAGATGATTCGAAAAAGAAAAGTTTATGCCAGGTTTGTTTAGTAATGTACAATTACTGTGGGTTTGAAAAAAAGAAAGTATTATTGTAAAACAACAAAGTAGGAAAACATGATTGAATTACGCTTTTACCACTGAAATTCCACCAAAAAATTTC